TAGTGAGTAAGAAAATATAATGGTTGATGGATGAAAGTTGGAATAATTGATTGTATAATGCGGATAAATTGATATTATAATTTATCAATTACATTTGTCTAACATCATTCTTTATTTATTAAATTATAGTTTCTTAGGTGAAAATTTTTTCGATAGAATGGTCGCCCGGTCGACCTAAGGGTTAGGCATGCCCGTATCACGCCTATTCTATATTTAATCCGAAACGGTGATATTGGTAAACCTGGTAATATTACAAAAATTACCAACATCACAGTTTCACCAATATCATATGTTTCACCAACACCACTAGTTTCACCAACACCATCAGTTTCACCACACCACCAGCTTTGCCAATGCTACCAGCTTCACCAATATGTATCACCAATATCATCGTTTTACCATTTCACCAGTTTCACCAATTTGGCTATTAAGGTACACCATCGTGCACCAGTTTCACCTGGTAAATTAATTAGTTTCACAACTTTAAGTGGAAGTGAATGATTCAAGTTCAGAATTATAAGTAAAATTAAAGATGCCGAAGAACTTCATAGTCTAGATTTGAAATGCACTCAGAAGCATGTTATGCAAGTAGATAATTCAACATTTCTAATTTGTTAAACTTGATAATTTAAGTAATTCGTATGCGCAGCCTGTTTTAGATCAAGTTGAACTATTTCTATACGTACAGTATCACTATCTTCCCTATAAGAAAAGTGGTTCGGGGTATGGTACGGGAAAACAGTGTATATGCACGGGATGATACGGATCGTGTGGCACGTATAGGCGCGTTTTACGGAATGGCACGGTTAAAAATGACACGGACATTACGGTAATGGGTGGCACGTGTATCACGTCACACGGAATGGTACGCATCAGATGACACGCATATGCACGTCGTACGTGATGGCACGTCTTCATTTCACGGAATGGTACGTGTTAAAAGTGATACGTTTTGGCTCGTTTCACGGAACGAAGGATCGCAAATGATTTTTTTTCTAAAAAAAATCGTAATATCTCAAGAACTTGCAAGTAAACCTGCTCTGGATATCTTAAGGGAAAAGATTCCTTGCAAGATTTTACACATTTGCAGTTACTTTAGTTTCCAGATATGTATATACTCCGACTATTACCAGTACTCTTCTAATAAATGTCTATTAGAAGGCGGACCGTAAATTTATGTCTACTTACCCGTTCCATTCACGTGCCACCAGCCCGTGTCAATTGGCTTAGTAAACTGTTGCAAAAGGCACGTATGATTTACGTGATTTCACGTTAAATTGGCACGGGTATACGGATCAACACGGTCCACTGATTCCGTGACAACTCGAACGATGCACGTGCAAATCCGGCCCATAGCCCGTGCCACTCGACCACGTGCCTATACACTATTTTCCGTGTGATCCCGAACCACTTTTCTTATAGGGCTTAGTACTAATTTTAAAAACTAATTTAAATTTATTGGAGTCTGAGAATTTAGACTGTATTATTTAACCGGCAAGTATTTTACTAATTTTGACTAAAATGAATTAAAGCTTGTATAGCAAGCAGAAATATAATTTATGGTAATTGAGAACAATGACATTAGAAAATTAATATTTCGCATCTCGTCTTATACAAAAGAATTAGTTAGACATTTTTACTTGATTGATGGAATATGATTTATTAATAAATTTTTAAACATTTATTAGCACAATACATATTTATTGCTATATATCTGACCTTTAATTGATTCATTGCCCAGCTTTTAAATTACAAATTCCTCGTATTTAATTAAGAACATTGATGTGTTGCCATTATTCAGAATCGTAAAAATAAACATCATGAAAAATACATACAAATAATTCTTAAATTCGTAATACTATATAGGCTAAAGATTATGAAGAAACGAATGATATTGTACTTTTTTAGAAAGTAGAAATAACACAATCTGAATAGAAATGCCTTTAGAATACTAGAAAATAATGTACTTTTTTTTATTAAGGGTTTTAAAAATAACAAATGAGTGGCGCATTTCGAAAATAAGTAAGAGTTTTTCAATAGTATTTTTACTATGTTGAATTATTAATCGGAAAAAATAAAATAAGGTTCTCTGATTTAAATTTGAAACCTCCAAATGGATAAAATTACGCATTTGATATTTGGAATTTTTTAATTGCGAAAATTGCTTTATTTGGTTAGTATTACCGATCTAGATCAAAAGATCAAAGTTCGACGGTCCAAAATGACTAATTTATTCTTTTTCACAATTACTAGATCTGATATTAGATAAGATTGATAGACCAATTTAACATCCCTAGTTAATTTGTCACAAACTGGCGCACATCCAATGTGTGATTACAATGTCACAGCTTGGGATAATGATCTCTGATTACGTTTAATCAAAGTTTGGTTCTTTATTTGGTAAGATCATAGTATTTCGTACGTAAGGTGCCTGGTTACATGAACACACACTTTCCCGTAAAATCGAGCTGATGTTACTACGTATATTAGATACTGTAACCCTTTTTTTTTAATTGTAGCAACTGGTCGTTAATGCGAATTCTGTAAAATTGCAATCTGTAAAGCCAGAGCTACAAAATAGAAAAAAAATAAATATCGCTAAGATTCAAAAATTTGTATCTCAAGAATATTTATGCCTTTTAAGCAAATTACTTAATTTATTAAATATCTGAATTTCAGAATGAGCTAAAATTTAAATGTATGCATTATAAATGGCTAAAGACGAAAAAATTGCATTTGAGACATTTTTCAAATTTGTTGACGATGGGAATGAAAATAATCAAGACAATAATGTAAGTTGTTATAAAAATAATGGAAACACTAGTGAGGATAAGAAGAAATTTGAATGGTATTTGAAATCTGCTGAAGGGGGCAATTCAGATAGCCAATGTTATCTTGGAAGTTGTTATATGAACGGCATAGGCACTGACAAAGATGAAAAGAAGGCACTTGAATGTTATTTAAAATCCGCTGAAAATGACAATTCTAATGGACAATGCAACCTTGGTATCTGCTATAAATATGGCATAGGTACTGCCAAGGATGAAAAGAGGGCATTTGAATGGTATTTAAAATCTGCTGAAAGTGGTAATTCATATGGACAATTTAATCTTGGGCTTTATTATACCGATGGCATGGGCACAGCCAGGAATGAAAAGAAAGCATTGGAATGGTATTTAAAATCTGCTGAAGGCGGTAATTCCTGTGAACAATTTAATCTTGGATTTTGTTATGAAAATGGTATAGGCATTGCCCAGGATAAAAAAATTGCATTTGAATGGTATTTGAAATCTGCTACTGGTGGTAATACTCGTGGACAATGTAACCTTGGATTTTTTTATGGCAATGGCATTGGAACTATCAAGGACAATAAGAAGGCATTTGAATGGTATTTGAAATCGGCACAAGGTGGTAATCCCAATGGACAATTTAATCTTGGATTCTGTTATGTAAATGGTATAGGCACTATTAAAGACGAAAAGAAAGCATTTGAATGGTATTTGAAATCAGCACAAGGTGGTAATTCTAATGGGCAATGCAATATTGGATTCTGTTATGAAAATGGCATAGGCACTATTGAGGACGAAGAGAAGGCATTTGAATGGTATTTGAAATCTGCTAAAGGTGGCAATATTTATGGACAATATAACATTGGATTATGTTATGAAAATGGTGTTGGTACAATTAAAAATGAAAAGAAGGCATTTGAATGGTATTTAAAATCTGCTGAAGGTGGCGATTCAAAAGGACAAATTCATGTTGGATTTTATTTTGAGAATGGTATAGGAACTGTTAAAAATAAAAAAAAGCATTTGAATGGTATTTAAAATCTGCTGAAGGTGGCAATTCAAAAGGGCAATTTAATCTCGGATTTTATTTTGAGAATGGTATAGGAACTGTTAAAAATGAAAAAAAAGCATTTGAATGGTATTTAAAATCTGCAGAAGGTGGTAATTCTGATGGACAATATAAGCTAGGATTTTATTTTGAGAATGGCATAGGAACTGCTAAAGATGCAAAAAAAGCATCCGAATGGTATTTAAAGTCAGGATTAAAAATATGCAAAGAATGTAATGGTTTAAACATAAGTAAAACCTGGTGCCAAAAATGTAACATACTTCATTTTGAAAAAAATTTCGCAAAGTGGACAAGTGAAAATAAAATTATTGATAAATTTGTTCAAGAAACTCAACTAACAGCATCAAATTATTACGATGTTTTAGAATGGATTCAATTTGATAAGCTCAAAGACATAAAATATCTAGATAGAGGTGGATTTGGTAAAGTATATTCAGCAACATGGGCCGATGGATATATTATAAATTGGGACTATCAAAAAAAGCAATGGAATAGAAATGGTGAAATGATGGTAGCTTTGAAATGCTTAGATAATTCTCATAAGTTTGAAGAATTTTTACAAGAGGTACTGTAAATAACGACTATTATAATACGAATTTTTAGTACATAGTCACCAATATTTTTTTAAAAAAAATAAATTACTAAATTTTTAGGTTAAGTTTCACATAAATATAGAATACGGAAAATGCACTATATGGTGTTATGGATTAACTAAGGATTCAAATACTAACGAGTACATGATGGTTCTAGAATATGCAAAATATGGAAATCTTCGTAATTATATAAAAAATAATTCTATTACATTATCATGGAGTAGGAAAATGGAAATATTAAGAAGTATTGCGACTGGGCTTAATGCTATTCATAAGGCTGGATTAATTCATGGAGACCTTCATATGGGAAATATTTTGCACGATGACTACCATGGAACAAACATTACAGACTTAGGATTAAGCTTCTTTGTAAATAAAATAAATCATTTTGGTGATGAAAAACAAACAATGTATGGTGTCTTACCTTATATTGCACCAGAGATTTTACGATCAAGAAAATATACACAAGCTTCAGATGTATATAGCTTGGGAATTATTATGAATGAGTTGCTTTCTGAAAAACCTCCCTTTTATGAAATTCCACATGACATGCATTTGGCTTCTGATATTTGTAAAGGCTCACGCCCAAAAGTTAAAAATGAAATACCAGATTTATTTAAGCAGCTTATTAACAATTGTTGGGATACTATGCCAACAAATCGACCAACAGCAAATGCATTAATAGAAATATTTAGTAACTGGGCGATGGATGTGAATGACCCAGGTTCAGAATTATATGTACAAATTAAAAATAATGAAGAATTTAAAACTCAAGATATTACTTCCTCTCAATCTACGTTTGAAATGCACTCAGAAGCATGTTATGCAAGTAGATTGCTCAGCATTCCTAATTTCCCAAAACTTGATAATTTAAGTAATTTGTATACACAACCTGTGCATACGACTTTAGACCAAGGTAAAAGCACATTATTCCTATTGAAAACTTATTATACGCGCATTATCATTATGACACTAATTTTGAAAACTAATTTAGATTCATTAGTGTCCGAACATTTAGACTGTATAATTTAATTGATAGGTATTTTTTTTACTTAAAGACATGCGTAAATCTTGATTGTTATAAACTATAAACAAAAAACACCTGAAGTTAGAATTTAAAACTTATAAATTCAAATTTGCCTTTTGATATTAACTAAACAAATATTTATATAAAAACAATAAAAAACTTTTAATTTTAAAATAAAATAACGAATACCACATAAATATTCCTCTAGTATATTATAATTACTTTAAGCAAAACAAACAATATGTCGTTTTTTAACCGTACTAATTGTTCAACATATTCTTACTTAAATAATATTTTTTTTACTTAATTTTACTTTTTTGAATGAAGATAACCCAAGAGAGCTGAATTCTTCTTTCTTTCATGTTTTTGCAGCACTTTTGATTGAACAGTAATGACTAAAATCATAAAGAAAAGTATTTGGAAGATTTTATTTTGTTACATTATACTGATCTTTGAGTTTATCTAACACGATTCGTAATATTGGCCTAAAAGTTTGACAGTTTGAATTAATAACTAAAAATAAAGTGATGCCGGAAATATTATTCTCTTCCATTTCTTAATTCCGATTTCTAAGTTTTTTTTAAAATATATCCAAATTTATATAACATGCGAGGCATTTGAAAGACCTTTCATATTAAAAAAAAATTATTTTATAAACTTTATTAAAAATTTGTTCTCTTTTAAGTCTTAATAGAAGTCGATAGGGTTATTTAAACTTTTCTTATTTTAGATAAAAAAAATTATCCAATATCTTATTATGATCGGACTGCCAGATAAGTACTATTTATTCCTCGCGAAGCGGGGAATAATGAAATATTTCCACAAGCCATTGCATCGGCGCTTCGCGCCGATGCAATGGCTTGGTGGGAATATTGAAATTATTTCCCCGGAGCGGGGAATAAATGAGTTATCTTTTGTTTTATGTCATCACTATGGTATTTCGGTGTTACTAATCATGGCTTTTATCACAATTTAACATATTTTTAGGGTCCCGATTTTTCCACACCCTTTTTTGATATTTCCACACCCATATGTAAATCATGTTTTTTTTTAAATTCGATCGAAAGTAACTC